GGATCTTGGATTTCCCCATTCATTAATATACATTAGAGGCATGTTTTTCACTTCTTTTTTAGTCACCCTTTAATTATGTTTTTGCAGGAGGAAACAGCTCCAGCACTGCAGGGCCGGAGTCTGAGAAACCGGGAGCCTAATGTTGGGCGACTTTGGGGAGGCCAGTACAGGAGCTGCAATTTGGGAAGTCAAGCAGCTGATTTAGGCTCAGTGCCAGCACTGACCCACCCAAGCCATTTCCTCACCGTGCCAAGCGGGGTCTTTGATAAAGTGACGGGTCCAAGGATTAATGTAGCTGAGCTGCACCTCATAAAATTGACTGAAGTCACACCCGCAGGGTCCTGCAAACGCTCCGAGTCACAACTGTGCTGCTCACCTCATGCGCAGTGTGCTCCTGCCTTACCAGCTCACAACGTTTTGGTGTTGTTTGAAACTTGGAAAGCCCAAAGTATGTCATTTTCTAGAAAATCAGATGTTTCGCTCAACTACAAATAAACCTTTTCCTTCTGTTCGAAGTATTTTTAAAGTTGCTTGTGGGGAGAAGGATGAACAATAAAATCATTAACATTGAAAAAAACCTTCTAAATTAAATGCTGCTTTGAAAAAACATGAAATATTTTGTTTCCAAACCGCCATTCTGATATTTTCAGGACTTCTGTTTCCTTTTCGCTAGTACGAACAATTTGATGAAAATGTCGCAAATTTACAGATCATTTTGTTGCCACAAAATCTGTATTTTTATCCATCCTCTCTCCCCTCCATTTGATGCAAAAGTAATGTTCAGACCCTGTACCTGTAATACATGTAACCAGTCAATTAATAAGCCTTACTTTGAGGATTTCTTCACAAAACTAAACACTGAAAAATAACCACTATAAAAATTTTAGTAATTTATTAAAAAAAGCAGGAGTTGAGAGAAATTTTTGTCTGCAATTGTTTCAAGTAAACAGAAAAAAAACAACTTAGGAATCTTGAAATTATGAGAATGTTTTGTTTTCACGTTCAAAATGAAGCAGTAGTGGAGGGGACTGATCTCGCACCACCGAAATCAATGGTACAAATGAGTCAGAAGTGGCAGCATGCCTAAACAAGTGGCTGAACATTAACGGTGGAGGAACTGTTTTTGGCATTAATCAATTCTAAATATATTTCATTGCTATTAAAGAATACAAATACATTATGCTCAAAATAAGGTTAGTTATGGTATTAAAAAAAGCCTCAAGAAATCAGCATCCATTGGGTGTTTGTTCAACAGAACATCAGACATCCAAAGCAAGAGCTTACTTCCTCTCCCAGGAGTAGTCAGTATTCTCCTGCACCTGAATCAAGGCAAAATATTGTTTCGTTTGTCCCAGAAATAATCTGCGCTTTACTATCAACTGTCCTCTGTTTTCCCTTGGTGCATCATCAACTTCCCACAATCTTTTTCTCCTCGCTTTATCTCACCTTGCTGTCCGCCATCTTCTGTCAACTTTGCCAATTTTTGGCAAGCACAGGGACAAAATTATATTTTCTCAGGTTATCAAAGCTACTGCAAAATGTTTTGATCACTAACAGTCTAGGTTCATACAACACCTTCTACACCTAACCACTGATACATTTTCATTCAAGCATTCCTCTGCCTTAACCATCTAGTCCCCACCGACTCAGTGAGGTTATCTGCACGGAACAGCTGCCTCAGTATAAAACTGTTCAAGTTCAAATATCTTCATCTCCGGGTTTTGCTTCTCCTTATTCAAGGGTTTCTTTTCCATCAGCAATTGCAGGTTCTAATCTCCCATACGGGTGCAGTATCAGCCTAAAGAAATTGCTGCCACAAAAAAACAAAATTGTGAAATATTAGACCAAACTCTGTTTGCCATGAACCACAGAGGAAGCACAGGTAGCATGGTGTTCAAGTTTGCAGAGAAGATGGCACATTCTCTGAGTATTTAATGTAGGCTCAGAAACTTTAGGCAGTCTCACGCTTCTGGCATTTAGCATGTCCCTGGGAAGAGCTCAGTGAAGGCTCAGTTCACATCTTCCAAGTGACTAATCCGGGTGTCCAAGATCTGCCAAGACACTTTGTGTGCTTATGCAAGAAACCAGAGTGGCTCATATGGAGTCATTCTGGCTTCCAACGCAGTATCAGGACTTCAAAAAAAAATCCTCATAAAGTATATTTACCCCAGCAAAAGATGACGCCTTAACAATTCCTTCCAATTGCTTTGTTCACTAAGGATTTGTTCCAGTTGCTTTGGAAATCTAAAGCACATTTCTAAAATTTTCCTATTTCTCTCATGCATTTTTTTCAAATATTGCACATATAATAGAGATTCATTTTCAAAAATAGCTGATATTCTAAAATTAAAGTTGATTTATACGCTTGCCTAAGATCAAATGCATTCACACAGCACTGCACAGCCATGCAATATGCATGATTATGCAATTTATGCATATATGTGCAGTAGTCAATTTACTCAGTACAAAGCCTCTTTACTCAGTACAGAGTCTTTACTGATGCTCTGCTGACACTCTCCTGATTTATTTTGTTACCAACTTGCTTACTAAGTGAACAGAAACATTCTTTTTGTTTTTGCAGCGGCTCACTAGATAATTCAGGTATCATCGCTGCATGTTCACCAGGCTTCTAGAAGCATGAGCTCTCTCTCTGTGGGCCATAAACGTATGAGCCGCAGCATATATTTCATTTATACTTATATATATTTAAAAATAAACCCCATGACACTCAGGATATCTTGTAGGAACAGATTATGTTCAGGAATAACAACTTCTTAGCCTGTTGTGAAAAAAGAAAAAATAACTATATGTATGCGAGTGTCTGTGAATCTCTGTATCATTTTTTAATAATACATGATGATAAATCAGGTCCTGATCCTGCAAGCGTTAATCACACAAAATATCCTTACTCCCGTTGTTGGCCTGGGAACCAAGCGTGGATGCTCAGAGTGAGTGAGGATCCCCCCTCAGGTACGAGCTGCTGGATCAGCCTCGTATTTCCTGCCAAGGCTGGTACAAGGCTCCACTTCTTTTACTTCACAGCTTAAAAAAGATCACATAGAAACATAAACAGTGCTACTTTTTACTACACAGTAGAAGAAAGGGCACGTTATTAAGAAGAAAACAGCTCTATTGCAACCATTAGCATAATACGTAGGTGCTTAGCCTCTGTAACAAAGAAGCAGGGATGTTATCAGTGCCTTTACAATTATTTCAAAGGAGCACAACCATAACTAGGCACAGGGTCTGGCTCGTTGCCCTTCCTAAAAAGACCCTGAGTTTCTCTCATGTGCCACTGCAGACAGCAAAAGCTGCAGTAGCTCTCCACTTTTGGAGACAAGCTCAGCAACTCACAGAATGAAACTGAGGATTGAAATAAAACAATGAATTTGCTCGGGTTCAAACCCTGGTTAATCCTCTGCAAAACCCCAGCATTTTCAGCATCCCCCACTAAAGATTGCCAGGACTCATCACATTCCCTGACATGTGATTTGGACATTACCACATGTGGCATTTTCACCTATAGGGCTCCCTTTGTGAGGGACAGAGCACATTCTAGGAAATGCTTGACATTCGCTGTAGCTTATACGTGGATGCAATCCATAGGAAATTTTCTTTTCTGCAGTTTGTTACCGGTCATTGACATACAGTTGGATTCTCTTTTGCTTGGGCCCAATGATAAACCCTTTCCCACATCACTGACACCAACAGGAGAAGCAGCGTGTCTCTAGGAAGAGCCACAGCCCCATCTCAGACTGCACAGAGTGCTCTTTTTGTCCCCATTTCAGCTGGCTTGACAGAGGTGCCAACTAAATAAGCTGTAGCGACTGCGCCCGACAGTAACAGAAAGTCACAATTATAATTGCCTATCATTCTAGCGTGCAAATCACGTAGTGGCAATAGATTAATTCTTAGCTTCAGGATCGGCTCTCATATTGAGATGGCAACATACCGCAAAGAAATTTTTCAAATTTCTCTAAAATTCGTATATTTTTCTTTTCAAGACAATGCTTTGCCACCCTGCCTTCCTCTTCTGTCTTCCTTATGTCCAGTATCCTATAATCTCTAAGTTTTATCAGTAGCCCTAACGCAGGCAGTAAAAACCTAAGTCCCTTGAGGATGCGAAGCAAGGTTACGTTCAGGTCATAAAGCAGAACACTAAGCACTAACTGTACAGACCAAATCCCCAGAGACCCACGGAAGCCACGTCTCCACCTAAAAATCACGGACTTGCAGACCTCGTCTGTGACCTACCAAGGGAAATGTGAAGACATGGCTGCAGGTGGCTTATGGTTGGGCCTCAGGTACTGAGCAGCTTTCAAGATGAAGCCTTTTCACATCTAGACATAAGCGATACCGTCAATTCTGAAATGGGAAACGATGAAAAATGCACGCTCGTAGGCACGAAACAAACGCACGGCATCGATAACATCCCCTTTCATAAAAAGAGGGTCTCAGACCCCAGCTACACAAAACCACGTCTCCCGAGACATCAGTGCAAAGACCGGTAGCGTGCAGCGGTCGCACGGTTTCCGCGGGCAGCCCGGCCGCGTTACACAGCTGGCACAGGCACATTCATACCTGCTGGTTTTTTGCCCCGACAGTTCGGTTCGTGCCGGGGAAGCGGGGAGGCCAACGCCTTCCCTGTCAGCACATCTGCACCAGGTGCTTGCCTGCAGAGCAGAAGGGAGCGTGCTCGTTCCCGGCGGCGGCTGCTGCTGCTGCTGATCTCCCGATGTTTTGCGGGGAACGCCGCGCGCCCCTCTCCTTAACAGGGCGCTAAACCCCGCGACGGAGCCTTACAGACGCGTTCGCGCTGAGCGCGGCCGATCGGCGCCAGCCACTGCCGCAGCCAATATTTCGGGACGGCGTCTGCCCGCCGCCGCCGGACCCCGGGCCCAGAGCAGCGGCTCCGCACCGCTCCGC